TGTATCTATAGAAGAGCAAGTCTATCACCTAACTTCACAAGGTAACACATGGGAGGCTTCTGACTGACTCACTGGCTCACAGACTGAGTCACTGAGTGAGTCAGGTCTCAGAGAGATTGAGTGAGAGAGAGGAGAGTGAGAGAGAGAGAGAGAGAGAGAGAGAGAGAGAGAGAGAGAGAGAGAGAGAGAGAGAGAGAGAGAGAGAGAGAGAGAGAGAGAGAGGGGAGGGGGAGGGGAGGGAGGGGGGGGGGGAGGGAGGGGGAGGGAGGGAGGGGGGAGAAGGGAGGGAGGGGGGAGAAGGGAGGGAGGGAGGGAGAAGGGAGGGAGGGAGGGAGGGAGGGGGAGAAGGGAGGGAAGGGGGGGAAGGGAGGAGGGAGGGGAGAACACAACACACTTCCTGCACAGTAACACCTTCACCAGCCCACGAAACCTCCACCACACAGCCACGATGGCCCCTTCCTTACTGAAGACCCCCAACAAGTGGCTGGTTGCGGCCTAACTACGCGAGGTAACGAGGCTGTTGATGTATAGGTAAATTACATTAACAAGACAGTCCATTTAAATACTTACACAAGTTTGGTTTATTCCTCCACTGGCTACCAGACCCACTGTTTACACAGGCTACAATATTTCAGTCTCTAACGTCTGTAATATACAACTGTGTGTGTACTGTAAACACTGTGGAACGTGTGTCATTTAAGGAGATCTGTAAAGATAGCACCGATAGAAGAGATAGCAAGGCAGAGGGACAGCTGCCTTGCCACACCTGCACGGGCTCTAGTGTTACCTATTAACACAGTCTTCAACACAGTCGTGTAACCCCACACATCCCACTGGTGTGTGTGTGTGTGTGTGTGTGTTGTGGTATCATTAGCACCTCACCACCATGGGGTGCCACACCTGTGGAGGCTCACCACACCTGTAGGGGCTCGCCACATACTATGCAGGTGTGGAAAGAGGCAGCACTGGCTTGGCCCCGAGGTATTAACCGCCTACAGCCCCAATATACAGAACAAGATAACCGCCTGGAGCGCCTATATACAGAACAAGATAACCGCCTGGAGCGCCTATATACAGAACAAGATAACCGCATGGAGCGCCTATATACAGAACAAGATAACCGCCTGGAGCGCCTATATACAGAACAAGATAACCGGCTGGAGCGCCTATATACAGAACAGGATAACCGCCTGGAGCGCCTATATACAGAACAAGATAACCGCGTGGAGCGCCTATATACAGAACAAGATAACCGCCTGGAGCGCCTATATACAGAACAAGATAACCGCGTGGAGCGCCTATATACAGAACAAGATAACCGCCTGGAGCGCCTATATACAGAACAAGATAACCGCCTGGAGCGCCTGTATACAGAACAAGATAACCGCCTGGAGCGCCTATATACAGAACAAGATAACCGCCTGGAGCGCCTATATACAGAACAAGATAACCGGCTGGAGCGCCTATATACAGAACAAGATAACCGCCTGCAGACGACGGAGGAGGGCCGTGAAGACACGGGTGGGTGCTGTGTGTGTCGCCACGGAAGGCGTCCTCGCTGCTCACTACTCACTACTCCAGCACCAACTACAGCCCTACATCTTACGGAAAAAAACTGAACACAACTTGAGGTTACCTTGAGGTGTTTCCGGGGCTCAGCGTCCCTGCGGCTCAGTCGTCGACCAGGCCTCTCGTTGCTGGACTGATCAACCAGGCTGTTGGACGCGGCTGCTCGCAGCCTGACGTGTGAGTCACAGCCTGGTTGATCAGGTATCCTTTGTTGGTGTTTGTCAAGTTCTCTCTTGAACACTGTGAGGGGTCGGCCTGTTATGTCCCTTATGTGTAGTGGAAGCGTGTTGAACAGTCTCGGACCTCTGATGTTGATAGAGTTCTCTCTCAGAGTACCTGTTGCACCTCTGCTCTTCAACGGGGGTATTCTGCACATCCTGCCATGCCTTCTGGTCTCATGTGATGTTATTTCTGTGTGCAGGTTTGGGACCAGCCCCTCTACTATTTTCCATGTGTAAATTATTATGTATCTCTCCCGCCTGCGCTCAAGATAATACAGGTTTAGACGATCTCTGCACGCTCTGCAGGTCAGCAATTTCTCCAGATTACGGGTTCACCATTGCCCGTGCTACATGGACACTTCGTTCTGAGTAGGTAAATTTGAAACAACAACATTCTCCAGCTTTGAAAGGTGCAGTCATTGTGCAGCAGTACTCCACTCTAGAGAGCACTAGTATCTTAAAAAGTATCATCATCGGTATAGCATCTCTGGTATGAAAGGTTCTTGTTATCCAACCTGTCATTTTTCTTGCAGTTGTGACGGCTACTTTATTGTGTTCTATAAAGGTAAGGTCTTCCGACATGAGTACTCCCGGATCCTTTACATTGCCTTTTCGTTCTTTATTATGATTTGACTGAGTTTTGTACGTGGTTTCTAATATTTTAAAAATATTCTAATATCTAATATTAGCACCTCTAATATTTTCCACATGTAGATTATTATGCATCTCTCTCACCTGCGTTCTAGAGAATACAAATTAGAACTTTTAATTTATCTCAATAACCAAGATGACAGAGTGGAGTCTAGCTGTAAGGGAACTTTGCACGCTCTCTACGTTAACAATATCTCCGGCTCTGAATGGTGCTGTTAGTGTGCAACAATATTCCACCCTAGAGAGCACTGCTGACTTCAAAAGAATAATTACTGGAATATCATCCCTTGTTAGGAAGGTCCTTGATATCCAACCTGTCATTGTTCTTGCAGTCGTGACAGCTACTTTATGGTGTTCTATAAAGGTAAGGTCTTCCCACATGATTACTCCTAGATCCTTCACATTAATTTTTCGTTCAATAGTGTGAATTGATTCCGTTTTATGTGTGGTTTCCGTTTTTACAATTTCGTTTTTTCCATAGCGCAGGAGCTGGAACTTATTTTCAATAATATCATATTATGTGTAGCCCAGTGAAAGACCTGATTTACATCCGACTGGAGGTTTGCCGTGTCCTCTATATAGAGGACTTTCATGTCTACTCGCGTGATAATCCTGGTGTCATCTGTAACTGATGTTACAGTGCTGTAGTTTGTATCCTTGTCTATGTCTGATATGAGGATGAGAAAAAGTACCCGAGCAAGTACGGTATTTTGGGGAACTGAGCTTTTCACAGTAAATGATCCGGATTTGACTGTGTTGACTATTACACTCTGCATTATGTACTACTTTGATGAGCAGGAAGTGGTAGGTGTTCTGGCCCTCGCCCCTCCCTCCCTGGTGTAGTTGCTATTGTCATTACAGTTAGGCAATTATCGTTGCATTTATCATATGTTGTGGTGGTGGGTGGTGGTGGGTGGTTGGTTGGTTGGTGGTGGTGGTGGTGCAGGTGGTTGGTGGTGGTGAGGGGGGTGCCAGGTGGTGGTGGTGGTGAGGGGGGGTGCCAAGTGGTGGTGAGGGGGGGTGCCAGGTGGTGGTGGTGAGGGGGGTGCCAGGTGGTGGTGAGGGGGGGTGCCAGGTGGTGGTGGTGAGGGGGGTGCCAGGTGGTGGTGAGGGGGGGTGCCAGGTGGTGGTGGTGAGGGGGGTGCCAGGTGGTGGTGGTGGTGAGGGGGGTGCCAGGTGGTGGTGGTGGTGAGGGGGGTGCCAGGTGGTGGTGGTGGTGAGGGGGGTGCCAGGTGGTGGTGGTGGTGAGGGGGGTGCCAGGTGGTGGTGGTGAGGGGGGTGCCAGGTGGTGGTGGTGGTGGTGAGGGGGGGCCAGGTGGTGGTGGTGGTGGTGAGGGGGGGCCAGGTGGTGGTGGTGGTGGTGAGGGGGGGCCAGGTGGTGGTGGTGGTGGTGAGGGGGGGCCAGGTGGTGGTGGTGGTGGTGAGGGGGGGCCAGGTGGTGGTGGTGGTGGTGAGGGGGGGCCAGGTGGTGGTGGTGGTGGTGAGGGGGGGCCAGGTGGTGGTGGTGAGGGGGGGCCAGGTGTTGGTGGTGGAGAGGGGGGGTGCCAGGTGGTGGTGAGGGGGGGTGCCAGGTGGTGGTGAGGGGGGTGCCAGGTGGTGGTGAGGGGAGGGGGTGCCAGGTGGTGGTGAGGGGAGGGGGTGCCAGGTGGTGGTGAGGGGAGGGGGTGCCAGGTGGTGGTGAGGGGAGGGGGTGCCAGGTGGTGGTGGTGGTGGTGAGGGGGGGTGCCAGGTGGTGGTGAGGGGGGTGCCAGGTGGTGGTGAGGGGGGTGCCAGGTGGTGGTGAGGGGGGTGCCAGGTGGTGGTGAGGGGGGTGCCAGGTGGTGGTGAGGGGGGTGCCAGGTGGTGGTGAGGGGGGTGCCAGGTGGTGGTGGTGGTGGTGAGGGGGGGGCCACGTGGTGGTGAGGGGGGTGCCAGGTGGTGGTGAGGGGGGTGCCAGGTGGTGGTGGTGAGGGGGGTGCCAGGTGGTGGTGGTGAGGGGGGTGCCAGGTGGTGGTGGTGAGGGGGTGCTAGGTGGTGGTGGTGAGGGGGTGCCAGGTGGTGGTGGTGAGGGGGTGCCAGGTGGTGGTGAGGGGGGTGTCAGGTGGTGGTGAGGGGGGGTGCCAGGTGGTGGTGAGGGGGGGGGGGGGTGCCAGGTGGTGGTGGTGGGGGGGGGGGGGGTGCCAGGTGGTGGTGGTGAGGGGGGGGTGCCAGGTGGTGGTGGTGAGGGGGGGTGCCAGGTGGTGGTGGTGAGGGGGGGTGCCAGGTGGTGGTGAGGGGGGTGCCAGGTGGTGGTGGTGGTGGTGAGGGGGGCCAGGTGGTGGTGGTGAGGGGGGTGCCAGGTGGTGGTGAGGGTGGTGCCAGGTGGTGGTGAGGGTGGTGCCAGGTGGTGGTGAGGGTGGTGCCAGGTGGTGGTGAGGGGGGTGCCAGGTGGTGGTGGTGAGGGGGGGCCAGGTGGTGGTGGTGAGGGTGGTGCCAGGTGGTGGTGAGGGTGGTGCCAGGTGGTGGTGAGGGGGGGGTGCCAGGTGGTGGTGAGGGGGGGTGCCAGGTGGTGGTGAGGGGGGGGGGTGCCAGGTGGTGGTGGTGGCAGGTGCCAAGCGGTTCAACATGTGGCCCGCCAGAGCATAAGAGAACATGGTGGCTGGAGGCCAACATCCGCACCCATCTCCCAGACCTCAGTGTTTACACACCTCCTCCTCTTCCCGCTGGCAACTCCGCCGCTGATAAACACGGTTTCCGCTCCCGTCCACGACACTGTAAGTGTTTACTCCCGCGCCTCGCCTCAACTCCTCAAGAATAGACGGCGTGGCGGCCACACTTTTACCACAAGAGTGTTCAGTGACGCACTTGACAGAGAAATAAAAGATATAGTTCATAGAGAACGTCGCCCGAAACGCATTGCGTAATAGTGGCTTTAGGCATTGTATGTACTAGCTCTATCTATATATCAATCCATTAATGTAACATCACTTGTATGTATGTACCTTACCTGAATAAACATATTTATTTATTTATTTATTTAGAAGTAGACTGTGACAAGAGCATGCGGCCACACTCGAACGAGTGCAGCATCTCCCACGAAAGAATGTTGTTAACTCGTTGAGTACTTTTCGTCCCGGGAAGCAACGAGGCCTCGAGGCAACACGTCAAAGTTTACACAGTGCACTCAGTTTGAGTGCACTCACACTGGGCTTCACGAGTAGTGTCCACACACGCAACAAGGGGCTACATCCCTCGACGGAAACACCATAGAAATGTCAATTATTCAGCTAAAATACTTTATACAATGTGAATAAAGCGTTGTTTCAGCGCCAGAAGCGACGGTGTGTGTATGACAAGTGACCAGATGTGTATGAAGAGGCACAAAGAGGGCGAGTGTGAGAGCCTCAATACACTCCAACACACAGTACTAGCCCGAGGCACTTGTCTTCCAGGCCCCAAGTAGGTTGTGCCAGTATTCTGAAGTGTTTACAAAACTGCCCCTTAACTCTGTGTACACAATTAGTGCCATGTTGACTTATAATCTTCAGAAATAGTTGTGAAGTGCCATGAAACTATTTGTTTGCCAACTTCTACACGTTGACTTATATTTCACGTTTAATGTTTGCCACTAATAATAATAATAATTCCAACGCATTCTAAACTTCAGATATTTATCATTAACAATTAGTCCTAGACAATTCAGAAATTAAAGTTAAATACCAATGTACTGATCAATAAAGAAGACACACACACCTGATCCAGTTTTAATGAATTCCACAAGAGTTGATCAAGGAAACGACGGTCTCGCTTCCTGCAGGTCGACGTTCAATCCCCGACCGTCCAAGTGGTTGGGCACCATTCCTTCCCCCCGTCTCATCCCAATTCCTTATCCTGACCTAAGTGCTACATAGTCGTAATGACTTAGCGCTTTGGTAACTGCCTTACCTTAATCACCATATACATTTCTTCCTAAGCCGGTATATTTTCACCATATAAACCATATTTAATAATTATTTATGAAATATTAACAGAACACACATTAAGTGATTGGGGGGAGAGGGGTGGTGGTTGACGGGGGGGGGAAGAGGGGTGGTGGTTGACGGGGGGGGGGAAGAGGGGCGGTGGTTGACGGGGGGGGGGGAGGAGAGGGGCGGTGGTTGACGGGGGGAGAGAAGAGGTGATTGACGTGGGAGGAAGAGGGGAGGTGGTTGACGTGGGGGGGAGAGGGGAGGTGGATGACGTGGGGGGGAGAGGGGCGGTGGAGGGGAGGGGTGGAGGTTGACGTGGGGGGGGGGGGGGGGTATAAAGGGGTGGGAGCTGCACACAAACCACGCCATATGATTAATTATTAAGCTAGGACCCCCCCCCCCCCTCTCCCCACTCAAACAGGATATTACACATCAATCTTCCTTCCTGAGACACCAGACAAAATATAAATATGGAAATGATTAACCACACACACTGGTGGAGTACACGGGGGGGGAGGGGGGGGGGAGGAACCATTAAACGCCCCAGATCACACAGCCAACGGCATCAACCCGTGCAATACTGTGCTCAGAAATCATCAACCCGTGCAATACTGTGCTCAGAAATCATCAACCCGTGCAATACTGTGCTCAGAAATCATCAACCCGTGCAATACTGTGCTCAGAAATGTATCCAAAACCTCCGACAAAGTGTCAATAGCACAACAGCCTAAACCCTAATATATCCGGACTAGAGCTTCCACGGAAATAACAATCAAGAACATAATACGTGGAAGATCTTGATTTCTAAAATGTGAAGAAGTATTTCGCATCGTTCTCTATTTCATCTATGACTTCTCTGTTTAGGTTTGATTCCTTCAGTCCGGTATTATTGCTTCAGCTTCTGCTCTATTTCTTTAATTTTCCTCTGTTAAATGATTTTTTCTTTCTTGAGACCGTTATGTCTGGTTCCTCTTGAGGACATCTTGAGATGATTTCGGGGCTTAGCGTCCCCGCGGCCCGGTTCTCGACCAGGCCGCTTCTTTTGTTAAACATCCCCAGGAAGCAGCCCGTAGCAGCTGTCTAACTCCCAGGTGCCTATTTACTCCTAGGTGAACAGGTGCATCAGAAAGAAACTCTGCCAATTTGTTTCCGCCTCCACCGGGGATCGAACCCGGAACCTCAGGACTACGAATCCCGAGCGCTGTCCACTCAGCTGTCAGGGCCCTAGCGCATTTCGGAGATTTTTTTCCTCCCCTCCTGCAGCGTGGCCATCTTTCTCTATATTGGTCCTCTTTCTGACCTTCCACAAAGGAACCTGTTTCAAGTAGACTATTGTTGCAAGCTTCGCCCCTCAACGGTTGTGATCCTGGCGTGACCAACCTGTTGCTCAAGACGGGTCACATTGGATGTGTGCAAGTTATAGTTTTCCCCACTCAATTATCTTGTTCAAATTTAATTGATTGAATAACCCGTCTCGCTTGACAATCTTTTTGAACCTATTACGAGTTAGTTTGTACTTCAAGGAGCTTGTGATCTGTGTGTTACCTGAACTTGTAATGTACGACTTTTTGTTTCATTATTTGTGAAGAATTAATATATATATATATATATATATATATATATATATATATATATATATATATATATATATATATATATATATATATAGATAATGCCGTACCTAGTAGCCAGAACACACTTCTCGGCCTACTATGCAAGGCCCGATTTGTCTAATAGGCCGAGTGATTTTCCTTATTTTCAATAAATTGTTTCCAATTAGTTTATTTGAATTATTATTATTATTATATTAAGAACATAAATTATTTACTTAATTGTGATAGTTTAGGTTAGGTTAAGATAGGTTAGGTTAAGATAGGTTAGGTTAGATTAGGTGGGTAGGTTAGGTTCGGTCATATACCTATGTTAGTTTTAACTCAAATTAACAAAAAATGAATTGATACATAATGAAATGGATAGATTTATCATTTATGAGAAAAAAATAGACAAAAATAAATTCATGAAAACTTGGCTTATTAGGCAAACCGAGCCTTGCATAGTAAGCCAAATAGTGTATTCTGGCTACTAGGTACTATATATATATATATATATATATATATATATATATATATATATATATATATATATATATATATATATATATATATATAGACACACACACACACACACACAGGTAGCGATGCAAGCAGCTACGTCACAGGAAGCAGCAAGGTGCACCACTCAACTGCTGGAGAGAAAAAGATCAGTGGTAGTTGTAGGCATCAAAGAACAGGAAGGATCCAACAGGCAAGAATGGAATGGCAAGGATAGAGAGGCAGTACATGGGCTACTGAAGGGGTTACAGATGGAAGGGGCTGTACATTACATTGAAAAGGTTTTCAGGTTGGGCTGGTACAACAAGGACAGAAACCGACTTGTAAAGGAGGTGTTTACAAACGAAACCACGAAGGAGGACATTCTCGAAAGGAAGAGTTGTCTGCAGCATATGGAGGGATACAAAAAAGTATTCCTGCAGAGGGACAGGACGAAGGAGGAGAGAGCCAGGGCAGCAGAGACATGGAGGAAGTGCAGGGAGAGAGGAGCAAACCAGGAAATCACAGCCCTCAACACAACAGTCCCAGAGACAAGAGGAGAACCCAAAACCAGCATCCCAGCAACCCCAGAGGGGGGGGGGGGGCAACACCACCACCCCCCTCTGCATAGAAACCCTCCCTTCCCCTCACCCTACCTGCCCCCACCCAACCCTCCCTCCCACCCCACCCCATTCTGACCCTGACGCCCCTTCCCCATTCCCATCATGTCCCCCCTACCACCTTTTTCCCCCCGTCCCCCCTCCCCCTTCATCCCATACCCTCCCTATCCCTCCTCCCCCCTCACCCCGTATCCTCCATGTCCCCCCTACCTCCTTAACCCACACCCTACCTGTCCCCCCTTCCCTTAAACCCCCCCACCCCCCCCCCAAAAAAAAATCCTCTGAGACCCTGCAAACCACCTCACAGATCCTCTCACCCACAGAACAGCTTCCCACACCAGCAGAATGCTTGCCAAGAAAGGGACATGAAAATGAACAGAAGAAAGTGAGCTTCAAGGCGATGTACATAGATGTGATTTCAAATAAAACAAGTGAACTTGGAGAATGGGCACTAGAAGAAAACCCAGACATAATAGCACTCACAGAAACAAAGTTAACGAAAATCATAACAAACGCAGTGTTTCCACAGGGCTACTATGTAGTGAGGAAAGAGAGAGAAGGGAGAGGAGGTGGTGGTGTAGCTCTGCTACTAAGAGAAGGTTGGAGTTTCGAAGAGATAGTAATTCAGAACTGTGAAGGTTTCAGTGACTACATTTCAGGCACCATAGCAACTGGGGGACAGAAAATTATAATAGTAGTCATATATAACCCCCCACCGAATGACAGAAGACCCAGACAGGAATATGATAGAAACAACTTGGCCACCATCAATATAAGAGAGAGAGCAGCTTCTGTGGCTAGCAGGAACGGATCCAGACTTCTAATCATGGGAGACTTCAACCATGGGAAGATAGATTGGGGGAACAGAGACCCACATGGAGGCCCAGACACATGGAGAGCTAAGCTGCTGGATGTGGCAACAAGAAACTTTCTAAGTCAACACGTCAAGGGACCGACAAGAATGAGAGGAGGGGATGAACCAGCCTTGCTTGATCTGATATTTACCCTAAATGAGTCGGATATAAGGGAAGTTAAGTTGGAAGCCCCCTTGGGAATGAGTGACCATAGTGTATTGAGCTTTGAGTACCTGGTTGAGCTGGGAATTATCACCCCCAAAAAAGAACTGGGAACCAAAGGGCTGGCGTACCGAAAGGGAAACTATGAGGAAAAGAATAAATTCCTATGGGATATACATTGGGACACAGAACTCGGAACCAAGTCCGTACAAGACATGATGGACTATGTCACCCAAAAATGTCAGGAGGCTGTAAGCAGATTTGTCCCAGCCCGACAGGAAAAAACAGAGAAGCAAAGGAAGAATCCGTGGTTTAATAAGGAATGTATGAAAGCAAAGGAGCTGAACAAAAGGGCATGGAGGAACTTCCGTAATAACAGAACACCAGAAAGTAGAGTGAGATACCAGAGAACCAGGAACGAGTATGTCAGTGTGAGAAGAGCAGCTGAGAAAAGGTATGAAAATGATATAGCTAATAAAGCCAAGACCGAACCAAAGCTACTACACAGTCACATCAGGAGGAAGACAACAGTGAAGGAACAAGGCACTACGGGCTCACCATAGCCCGTATTACTTGGAACTTTTTGTTCCAGGTAGCGAATCTTTAACAACAACAGTGAAGGAACAAGTGATGAAACTTAGGGTGGGCGAGGACAGGTACACAGAGAATGACAAAGAGGTGTGTGAAGAACTCAACAAAAGGTTCCAGGAGGTCTTTACAATAGAACAGGGAGATGTCGCGGCGCTAGAAGAGGTGGCAGCAAACCAGGTGACCTTGGATAGGTTCGAAATTACAAGAGATGAGGTCAAGAAGCACCTATTGGAGCTGGATGTGAGAAAAGCTGTTGGGCCGGATGGAATCTCGCTATGGGTATTGAAAGAGTGTGCAGGAGCACTTTGCCTATCACTCTCCATAGTGTATAGTAGGTCACTGGAAACGGGGGACCTACCAGAAATATGGAAGACTGCTAATGTAGTACCAATATACAAAAAGGGTGACAGACAAGAGGCACTGAACTACAGGCCAGTGTCCTTAACTTGTATACCATGCAAGGTGAT